CCCCCCCCCCATTGATTTTCTAATATTGAGCCTCCTGGCAAACCTGGAAGAATCTCACATGGTCATGATGTATTTTTTTGGATACATTGCTGAATTATATTGGCTAGGATTTTGTTAAGAATTTTTGTATCCATGTTCATGTGGAATATTGGTCTATGATGTTATTTTTAGTGATATCCCTTGCCTGGTTTTAGTATGAGGGTTTTGCTTGCTTCTAAGAATGTTATTTGGAAGTTTCCATGCTTTTCTATATTTTGGTATAGTTTGAGTAAGACTAGTATCAGCTCTTCTCTGAATGTTTGGTAAAATTCACCAGTAGAACCATCTGGGCCTGTATTTTTTTTTTTTCTTGGGAGTTGTTTAATGACCTGATCATATTCTTCTTTTGTTACAGATCTGTTACACAAAGTTTTCTGTTTTACTCTGTGTTCATTTAAGTAGGTCATGATTTTTTTTTTAATTATCCTTTTCTTATAGGTTTTCAAATTTGTTGGAGTACAACTCTTCATAGTGATAAACAGTTCAGGGCCAGCTGTGGCTCTTTTGCACTCCATTTGTTTTACGTGAAACTTCACTTTAAATTTCAAGATCTCTGGGGGTGGGGGTGGGGTACCCACTCACTCAAGCCCCCCCCACCCCCAGTCACCAGAATGGAGGTGCGCAGACAGCGAGTGACCAATGAACAGATTTAAAAAAAAAAAAAGAGTGTCCACGCTTTTATCTTCGTGGTTCTCTTAGGCATCCGTGGCTGCTCTGATCCTTCCCCAGCCCAAAATGGCGGCTCCAGGAGCAGCTGAGCGTCTTGGATTAGGAAGCAATGGATTTTTTGCTTCTGCTACAAATTCCCCCAGCTGTAAGCCTTCCAACCTTCTAAATATTCCTTTATATGTGGTTCAGACACATCCCCTGAGCCTGCTTGGTCCGGTATTCTGTGTTGTTGCTACGGAGCTCTTCACTGTACTTCCACCCAATCTGCCATCTTGTTTGTTCTGCCCCCAGCAGTCTTCTTAATGGTTGTTATTTTTTTTCTCCTTTCTCTTCTGTAATCACACTGTCTCCTAAGTGTATAATAAAAACACGATTCAGATGTGCTAAAGAAATGACATACACCTTGGGATGTGATAGAGTAAAAGCAGAAAGAAAGTTATTTGTTTAGAAATAGCTCCAGATTTTCTGATGGTGTAATTTATATGGTCATTCTTTCTAGTATTTTACGGTTTATGTAATACTTTAAGTGGTTTATTGTTTATTATGTAAGGGATTCATTTCTTTTTTCACTTTCATGATTTCTACTGTGTATATGTGTGTATACCACCTGTACTATTAATTACTTAATATGCTTTTTAATTGACTCACAATAGATGCTACAGTAAGCACTTCATATATGTTTCTCATTTAATGTTCACATCAGTTTTTCCAAGTAAAGTTGTTTTGTTTTGTTTTATTTTGATAAGGAAACAGACCCAAAGCACTTAAGTACTTTGCCTCAAGTCTCAGAACTAATACAAGGCAAAGGTCAGAGTCACACTTGAGTCTCTCTGATGCCATTGCCTCTGAGGGTCATGGTGTAGTTGTTTTCAATTATATCTGAGTAGCTTACTGAGTAGACACAGTGTCTGAAGCAGTGGGCTCAACACAGCAACAACTGTGATATGGCACAGGACTGGGCAGTGTTTCATCCTGTTGTATATGTGTCAAAAGTGACTCGACGGCACATAACAACAGCTTACGTGGTTCCCTCTCTTTTCTCCAGTGATAAAGTTATCCATATATGTCCTCCTGTTCCCCCATCTTTTATCTCAATCATTTTATAAGTGAAACTTTTTAAAATCTGTTTGTGGAAGTAAAAATTTTTTTTTAAGTTTACAATGTCTTGCTTTTTTATAAAGCGTGTACAAACTAAGGAAAGCTCTCGGCTTGATAATTTAATCACTCATTGTGAATCTGTTTAGGTGTTTAGAAAAAAGCACAATTATTCTTTCTTGGGGAAAAAAATGAAAGCCAGGTTTCCAGGGGCTAAAGATACTTTGGGAGAGGAAAGATACAGATAAAGGGAAATGTGGCCGAAGAACAGTTTTGAAGAGAATAAAGAGGATGGAAGCCAACTAGGTAGCTACGTCATGGAAGGAGCAAAACTGTATCAGGAGGTGACGTTTATCACATAATCTATTAACTCAGTAATACAGAGCGCCTCAGAGTGTATTTTCTATTTATTGTTCTTATTTTCACATCCATAGAAACAAATGTTTTTCCATTTCCAGCCTGAAATCTGCATTGGCATACAGTATACGGGACCGTACATTGAGAAATCTAGTGTACAGTAGATTGCAGAACAACAGCAGAAAGCTTGCTAATACTTTATCTAAAATAATTGTGTATATTCCTATTTCAAGAACACAGGAATAAAGTTATTATATGAAGGAAAGCCTCATCCAGTATAGTTTTCACTAAATAGATTATTAATATTTGCCTTCTCTGTTTGTTTTAGATTTTAGCCTTTATCTTAATAAGGAACATCCCTGGATATGCTCGTTCCGTTTACAGCTCATTTTTTGCTTGGTTTGGAAGAATTTCATTAGAGGTTGGTATATGAATAATTGACTATCTCACACAGCCAAGTGCTATGTATATATGTGTAAATCTGGCATATGCAAAAATACTCTTAAACTGAAGCTATTTTGTTTATGGAATTATAGGAGAAAACCCAGAACTTCTAACCGTGGTATTGTAGAGTGTTTTTAAAGCTTTATAACTAGACATAGATGGCTTTTAAATTTTTCTTTATACTGTCTTTAACTTTCAAGTACAACTAAGAGAAAAATTAAACTAGAAATAAATGAAATCATCCTGAGGGAACTTTGATTATCTTCATAATCAAATGTATTACTGGAATTCAGTTTATTCATGCTTGTTATAAAATTCACTCTTAACTATGATAGAATTGTGGGGAATTTTAAAAACTCATTACATTTTGCTGTGAGATGCACAATATGAAATTATCTACAAAATCAACTGAAGCAGACATTGGAACACATTCAGAGAAGTTTGAGCTTTATTATTTGAAGTAGAATATTTCTAAGCAGTAGAATTTATATTGTAATCATAACATACAGTTTATAGTGTACAACTTACTAAATTATATTTTAAAAGAGAAAAAGGAGACAAATGTCTCTGAGTTCTTGAGTAAATGTTCTGATATTTTCTTTAGTCTCCTTTATAAGAGATTGTATAAAATTTAAAATTCTTAATAGTCACACATGACTTATTGGGACATGAATCAGAAAAGAGTATTTGTTTTGCCAGGCGCTTTATATTTGGAGCACAAAAACATTTATCAACTTGAATTTACTAATTATTCAATCATCTAATAGTCTTTCTAATAGTTAAAGTAGCTGAATGCATTTTCTTGAAGCAATGTGATGATAGACCCACATTTATAATCACATTCAGAAGAAGTAGTAGTGTTATATAACATGCTCTGCTCAATAGAAACATAAATACACTTTGGAAACATGCTAATGCAGTTCAAGACATGACTTACAGGACCATGCAGCACATGCATGAGGACCAGCAAACATTTTTTAGTATATGTGAAAAGCCGTACCATTTCCCACTCTAATTAGTATATTAAAAAACAGCCAAGGGTTGTTACAGTCTTGCTCAACTAGAATCGCCCTTTCCTTTTGTGAGAGGATTTGGGAAGGGAGAAAGAAATAGAATGCTCTCCACTTTAGCTGATCAGAAGGACTGAAAAGGGGAGTGGTCAAATAAAAACACCTAGCAAGAAAGTCAGAGTTCTTATAGGTGGGTGTACAATGCATGTCTGTATAAAACTACTATGACATCATATAACACTTTATAGTATCCTATTTGGCAACGTTATATATGTAGTATACACGTATACACAAATGCATACACATGTAGTGCTCACATGAGATACATAAGCACATGTATTCACGCATTTATAATCATTCTTTAATTGAGGTTTGAATTGTAGAGTCCATAATATCACTTTGTTAGTTGACTTTTATGACGTGTAAAGAAGTAAAAGCAATGTTTCCAACTTCAGTATGTTCCTGTAGTTGATTTCATGGGAACTTGGAAGAAACACTTCAGCAGGTAGGAATTATTTAGTGGACTTGTCAGGGCCAGAAGTGAAATAAAACAAATGGTTTTAGAAAAGTCTCTAACAGCATTTTGCTATAAAATGTTTAAATTAGGAGAAATTAATATATTTATGGTCTCTCTGTACACATCTAACTTTAAGTATTTCCCCCCACCAGCTATTTATTTGCCAATATCACATATGGCTGGCTGCAGACACCAGGGGCATCTTGGTACTCATACCCGGAAACCCTATGCTCAACATCATTGTCAGCACTTTTATATTTGTCTGTGTGGCACATGAAATTTCTCAGATCACCAATGATCTTGCACAGATTATTATTCCTAAAGATAACGCGTCTCTGTTGAAAAGGTTGGCATGTATAACTGCATTTTTTTGTGGACTCCTCATCCTATCATCCGTTCAAGATAAATCAAGACATTAATTTCTTCAAATTCTAAAAAAACTTAAACTTTTGAGGCTCATTTGTGTCTGCCTACAGAAAAAAGCATCTATCTGAAGATACAAATGTAAATATAAACTTGTGTGGCAGAGGACAACTCAGTGATGTCTGTGGAACACGTATGCTTGTATATATTGGAGATGTACATATTTCATGTGAAATACTAATAAAAAATGATAAAACAGAATGCATTGTATAGGATTGCATGTGAAAAGTATTTTCTACTGGAAGTATGTTTCCACTTAGAAGTGATTTTAAATTAACATATGAAGGCAGGGAAATTATTTCCTTTCCAGTACATAAATATTATATGGGTCATCTTAGTGTTGTCACTGAGAGTTTGGAGATTTACTGAATTTGTTGTAATGGACTGTCTGTACCTACATTCATCAACACTTCCTATTTCATTAAAACTTTCTTATTTACAGTATTTTCTTATATGTGCAATGGTGTAGAATGATAAAGACTATGCTTTTAATTTATATGTATTCATGTTTTTATGCTATATGTTTCCTTATATGATTGTTTCTCTTAACTGTGGTTTTCGGTTATAAAAGCCTAAATCTTTGTATACTGTGTCTCACAGAGTTATTCTAGGCTCCATGACAGGGTTTTGTCATTGTTTATGTTGTTGCTTTTGTTATTATGAAAAGGCCAAATTTTGTTTCCAATCCAAACATTCATCCCATTTCTTTTCCTTCAACGATATCAGGTGTAGTTCCAGTTGCCCTGTGGATCTATTTAATTAGTTTTTCCACCACAAATTGATTTTTACATATTATTTCCAGTGTTTGGAAAACTCTTTATAGCCATTTTGGTATTTCCTGTTACTCTCTTCATATGTTTTTCTCCTTAAATATCGATGTCTATAAGTTTAAACGTGTACAATGTAGTAAAGATTCACGTTGTCACTGAGATGTATGACTATAGTAGAGTTATAAGTAAACTGGTGACTTGGGCAATATGTTTGTTTTTGTTTATGTTTGTTTTTTACAGGTTAACAGCTAGAGGTATAAATTTATTTATCTGTTGTACAGATTTGATTATCATTTTTAATGTTTGAAAGATTGCACTTATTTGCTTTTACAATGTGTGGGGTAAAATATATTTTCTGTTCACATTATATGAAAATATGGAGTAATTTAAACAGTAAATAAATGTTCGTGGATGCTTATTTTTGTAATAAAACTGTCAAACTACATGTGTTTGTTTGTTTGTTTTAAAAACTGGGTCCATTAATGATTGGTTCAAATTTTTAATTTATTTCAACCTAAAATTGTTCTTGTGTATTTTCAAACTCTTAAGTATATAGGGGTTGTTCTCTAAGTGATAGTTGAATAAGGAAAACTCTAGTTCTCAAAAGGTTCTGAAATAATCTGCATTCCACCCAGGAAGTTGAAGCATTACGGTTTATTAGTAATTTTATTTGAATTTTTAAAAAATATATCATTTCTATAGCTCTGGATTTAATATTCTTTATTGTTGTTGTTAAGTGCCGTGGAGTCGGTTCCGACTCATAGCAACCCTATGCAGGGTTTCCGAGGCTATGAATCTTTATGGGAGCAGAAAGCCTCATCTTTCTCCCGTGGAACAGCTGGTAGTTTCGAACTGCTGACCTTGCAGCTCGCAGCCCAATTCATAACCACATTGCTACCAGAGCTCCTTAGTTGAGGAATATTTCTGATAGAAATGTGTTCTTTTCTGTTCTGTCTGCTTTTGCCCTTACTTAATCTTTTTACATTTCCCGGATAGACAATTGTAATGATTCATTGCTCTGCCTCCTAGACTTCAACCTTATAAGTAGAGAATGGTGTAGTTATAAATAAAAAACTTCCAAGTCTGGGATCACATTATTCTTGCTGATGTGGCTTGCCGATGAGTAAGAGTGCATTTTAATTTAGCTTGTAAGTTTTATCACCTAAAAAAGATTCTTCCAGATGAAACAATTGAAAAAGAAAGATGACCAGTATCCCTCTTTTTTTTTTCCTGAAACTTTTATTATGTTTTCCAATAGTAAGCCCAGTTCCTTTATCACATTCTCTTAATATGCAGCAATGGTTTATTTGAGGAGTGCGGTGGCTCCATTAAAAAAATCACTAGACTCCAAAACCACAAGGTTGGTGGTTCAAGCCCACCAGACACTCTACAGGAGAAAAATAAGGCTTTCCGCTCCTGCAAAGTTTTACAGGCTTGGAAACCCTATTCAAGGTTGCTATGATTGGGAACTGACTTTGATGGTACTTTATAACAGGAACAACTTTTATTTAACAATTACATATAATAATAATGTAGCTGTTGTTGTTGTTGTTAAGTGCTGTTAAGCCGATTCCAAAGTAGAATATATTTTAATGCATTTGTAGTGAAAATACATTCTACTTTGTGTTTGATTTTCTTAGTCTTTATGGATTGAGGTTATACTGGAAGGTACCACATGATAGCGCATATATATGGTAAATTTCTTAATTTTTTTTCTGCATTAACTCAGATCCTGACAAATTGCATTGTTCAGTCACACCATCTAAAGATCTTCTAAATAAAATGTTTAGCAGAGTAGTTGGTAGGCAAAAGTTGAGCTAAATCCACAGAGATTCTCTAAATTCAGATTGTCTAATATAAATTATGCTCAGAAATCTACCATCTCAACCCAGCGTACCTGCTTCATTCTGTTCTACCATCTTTTCTTGTTTTTTGCCCAAACCTTCTAGTTTTTGTGACTAGTCAGCAAAAGCATTATGAATTCAGAACTTTTACCTAAAATAATTCATTTTATGAATTAAATGAAGGATAAGCACTGAACCACAAGGTGGTGGTTCAAACTCCTTGAAAACCCTTTACAGGGTCGCTATGAGTTGGAACCAACTTGACAGCACTTAACAACATTCCTTTGTAAGTTGGCTAGTTAAAATCTGAAAGGATAATATTTTTTTCTCCACAAATGCAACATTATTTCAAATATTTATCATAGGAGCATCTGAAGTTTCATAAACTTTGATGGTAATAAACATATCTATGTTAGTATATTGATTAAGTAATAATAATTAAAAAGTTGCTTACCTTTTCAGTTAGCAGCCAAGGACTGCATCGTCTAGGGATTCCAATTGGTTAATGCTTTTTATTTGTTTTTAAACCATTTGAAGGCTAAATATATACATATATAAGTCATAGGACCCAAGACAGTGCTTTCATACAAACCAAAAACCAAACCTCTACCATGGAGTCAGTCCTGACTTGTAGAGAACCTGAGTAGGATTTCCAAGATCCCAAGTCTCTCCTATGGAACAGCTGGTGAATTTGAACCAACCACTAATCCTATACTTAGAAGTCCAATGCTTAACCCATAGTGCTACCAAAGCTTTTTATATAACTGGAGCCCAGTAAAAATTGCCTTACAAAGAATATCTACAATTTCTGGGAAAATACTCCATTACCTTTGGATTTGAACTTTAACCAGTTCAGCAAATTATGGGAGAACCGAGTTGGAATTTTTATGTTGACTAGTATCATTCTAATATTCTCTCATTTTGATCTACAAAAGTGGTAGTTTCATAGGGCCCAGTTTAACAATCCACCACTCGTCAGCTTGTCTTGCTATGGTGGCTTGTGTGTTGCTATGAGGCTGGAATTTACGCCACCATTACCTTACATACCAGCAGGGTTACCCGTAGTGGACAGGTGTCAGCAGAGCTTCCAGACTAAGACTAGAAGAGGAAGAGGCGGACTACTGCTGAATGATTGTTAAGTGCCATCGAGTTGATTCCGACTCATAGTGACCTTGTATAGGGTTCTTAATGATTCAGCACTGAAAACCTTATGAATGTCAGTGTATCATTGTCAGATACAGTGCCAGAAGATGAAAACATTTTTGAATAGCACCAGAATATTGTCAGATACAGTACCAGAAAATGAGTCCCTCAGGTTGGAAGGCTTGCAAAATAAAACTAGGAAAGAGCTGACTCCTCAAAGTAGAGTTGACCATTATAACAGGAACGGAGTAAAGCTTTTGGAACCATCATTTGCTGGTGGAATATAACTCAAAATGAGAAACAGCTGTAAACATCCATTAATCATTGGAACATGGAATCTACAAATATAGGAAAATTGGAAGTTATCAAAAATGGAATGGAATGCATAAAGGTCGATATCATAGGCATTAATGAGCTGAAATGGACTGGTATTGACCATTTTGAACCAGACAATGATATGGTTTACTATGCCTGGAAGGACAGATTAAAGAGGAATGGCATCACATTCATCATCAAAACATTTCAAGTTCTATCTTGAAGTACAATGCTGTCAGTGTTAGGCTAATATCCAGACACCTACAAGGAAGACCGGAGTCCTGGTGTCACACTATAGCATGAACACTGGACCACAAGGTCAGCAGCTACTCCTCAGAAACCCTATATATATAAGGTCGCTGTGAGGAACCAACTCAATGTCATCTAACAACAAGGAAGACCAGTTAATGCCACTATAATTCAAATTTACACTTCAAGTACTACAGCCAGTGATGATGAAATTGAATTCCACCTTCTTCAGTCTAAAATTGATCAAACATGCAATCAAGATGTATTGATAATTACTAGTGATTTGAATGTAAAAGTTGAAAAGAGGAATGATCAGTAGTTGGAAAATACTAGTTTTGTGATGAAAGAAATGATGCTGGAAAGTGCATGATAGAATTTTGCAAAACTGATGACTTAACATAAAAGGTGATTATACACATGGACTTCACCAGATGAAATAAACAGGAATTGAGTTGACTACATCTATGGGAAGAGACAGTGGAAAAGTTCAATGTAAATATTAGCCAAAACAAGGCTAGGTGTCGACTGTGGACCAGAACACCAATTGCTCATATGGAAGTCCAACTGAAGCTGAAGAAAATGAAAACAAGTCCAGGAGAGCGAAAATATGACCTTGACCATATTCCTCTGAATCTAGAGACCATCAAAAGAACAAATTTGATACACTAGCCACTAATGACTGAAGACCGGAAGAGCAGCAGGAGGACATCAAGAACATCATGCAGGAAGAAAGCCAAAGGTCATTAAAAAGACAGGAAAGAAAGAAAAGACCAAAATATGTGTCAGAAAAGACTGAAACTTGCTCTCTAGCATACAGATGCTAAAGTAACTGGAAGAAATGAAATAAAAGAGCTGAACAGAAAATTTCAAAGGGCAATTCCTGAAGGCAAGAACACATCATTTCTCAAGCTAAAAGAACTGAAGAAAAAAATGTGAGCCTCTACTTACATTATTGAAGGATTCTATGGGCAAAAATGGAGTCCTGGTGTGGTGCTGTGGGATAAAGCACTGGATTGTAAATTCAGTTTGTCAGTTTAAACTCACCAGCCGTTCCTTGGAAACCTCATACAGGGTTGCTGTGAGTCGGAAACATCTCGACAGCATATAGCAACAACTTAAAACAACATGGGCCAAAATATTGAATGTTACAGAAAGTTTCAAAAGAAGATGGAAGGTATAAACAGTCACTGTGCCAAAAAAGAAATAGTCAATATTCAACCATTTCAAGAGGTACACATGATCAGGAAAGAATCTATGATGATCAAGAACTGATGGTGATCAAGCACTGATAGAAGAAATCCAAGCTGCACTAAAGGTATTGGCAATAAACATGGATCCAGGAACTGACAGAATACAAATTGAAATCTTCAACAAGCTGTTATAGCACTGGGAGCACTCGCTCATCTTTACCAAGAAATTTGGCTAAGATGGCCAACTGATTGGAAGAGATTCATATTTGTGCCCATTCCAAAGAAAGTTGACTCAAGGGAAAATGAATATTATCAAGCAATAACTTGAGTATCACTTGCAAGTAAAATTTTGCTGAAGATAATTAAAAAATGGCTGCAACCGTAAATTCAATCTGGATTCGGAAGAGGACGTGGAACTAGCGGTACCATTGCTGACATTAGATGAATCGTGAGTGAAAGCAGAGTACTGAATCATATTAACTTGTACTTTATTGATTGTGTGGATCATGACAAGCTATGGATAAGATTGTGAAGAATGGGTATTCCAGAACACTTAATTGTACTCATTAGGAACCAGTACATAGCCCAAGAGACAGTTATTCAAACAGAACAAGGGAATGGATACTGAATTGTTTTAAATCAGGACAGGTGTGTATCGGGGTTGTATTCTTTTGCCATATATATTCAATCTATATGCCAAGCAAATAATCTGAGA